TCAAACTGGTATATAATGAATTAAGCATGTAAAATAAATATAAGAGGTTCTGAGTTATAGGTCACAGGGATAATTTCATACTCAATTTGATGAATACATGTAAATTACAGGCACGTAGCAACCGGGGGGGGGCTGCCCCCCTTTTTTTCCCAACATTACCTGTACTATAAGAAAATGTCCATTGAAAAGATGGTTGCCCCCCCCCCACACACACACACACTTTTTACCACAGTATATACATGGCAAGGAAATATGGGGAAAAAATTGGAAGTGAAAGTAATTTTGCCTTGAAAAAAAGGTGGCCACTCCCCCCCCCCCCCATTTCATTTTTTTTCCTTGTTAATGTTTTTAGGTAAGTGAAAAAAATTTTCTCAGGTTGCCCCCCCCCCCCCACTTTCAAAAACGATGCTACGTGTCTGAATTATATAGAATTATTTTGACTTTTTCCTTGGTAAGCCGCCCGTAGGATTGTGTATTTAGAGGCAAACACCTTAGTGCGGGTATTACTGTCTCATGACAGCATCTAGTTTGATTTGTATTATTTATACCAATTATGAATTATATCACTGCTCTATTCAAAAGCTAGCATTTTTATTTAACGTGATGACATGAAAAAATCATAAAAAATCTTTCTTGATATTATTTTACCTTAGCAATCTTCATTTAATTTTTTACTTTTTTGCTGACCAATGTTCAATCTTTTGCCAGTATCCGTCTATTCATGCACGTTCCACTCCTTCTAAGAAACAATTCGCAAAAATATAAAGAAAACGAACGGCATTCAAGATAAAAAAAATATCCATAAAAATAGTACAAAGCAGGAGCAGAGAAAACATGGACCTTTTGAACATCAGAGGTGGGATCAGGTGTTATGGAGTAGTAGGCATCCCCTACCGACAGGTCACTCCCACCGTGTGCTCTTTGTCAAGATTGGGAAAAAATGGGGGAAATCTGTGAACAATTCAGTGTGTAAATAATGGTCTAACGATAATGTTTTTAAAAGTCTGTCATCATTTGCTTTAATGATAGATTGGATTTGCTGACAAGGTAATTGTATTGACCATAGATCTTGTGAAACAGTGATTTTAAACGAGACTGTTGCACTTCATCTGTTTAAGATGTTTTTAAGAAGTTCTGCATGATCACAAATAAGAAAAGTATAACTTGTGACAGCTTTGTGATGAAGTGTAGACCCAGATTTATTTAAATTAACTGTCATTTCAGAGTAGGGTATGGGGACACACTGCTTTTTCAATGAAAATGAAACTAGTAAATTTTCTTATCTCGTCCTTGTTCATTTGCAAAATTATTTTGTTAAAAAACATTCTGATTGTACACACAAGTACTCTAAATTTTATATTAAAAAGATACTTGAGTTTCTGATTGACAAAATCTATGTTGTTCTTGGAGTCCAGGTCTTCTAACAATCTATTGGAATCCCCATGGAAACCAATTGCACCCTGTTTCTAGCATATCGATTTTTGTGTATAAGAAGCAGAATTTGTCCAAAGGAAGGAAAACACTTGCTGGGGCTTTCAACCCCATGATTATATATATATATATATATATATATATATATATATATATATATATATATATATATATATATATATATATATATATATATATATATATATATATCGATGACGTATTGTAAATTAACAATGGTTATTTCCATTCTTATGTCAATACGATATATCCAAGTGAGCTTGAAATAAGCTTTAAGATACCAAAGACTCTGATATAAATTTAGATATTTTACGTGAAATAAAAAAACGTTAATTAGAATTTTAAAACTAAGCTTTATGACTAACTTTTTAATTTTCAATGTCCTTTTCTTACGCAGCAACATAGCTTCATCACCTGCATGCGGGTTTATATCTCTCAGTTGATTCGATACGCAAGAGCATGTGCTAAATACGAACAATTTTGGACAATTTTTGGAACGTGTTAAGTTATTGACCAACAAGGTACTGAAACAAGAATATCAATCTCATTTAAAGTCATCTCGTAAGTTACCTGGTAGATACGAAGAGCTTGTCAGCAAACACAACTTATAATTGAGTCAAATACTGACTGACGTTTTTCATACTTATTGTTAGGCAATGATATACACTCTGAATTATCGAGTGATTTTTTCCCAATCATGACCGGTCGACAGGGGATGCTCACTCTTCCGTGACACCTGATCCCGCCTCTGAAATTTTGGTTTTCCGTGTTTGCTCTGCTCCAATTTTGTATTGTTTTATGGATATTTGATCTTGAATATTAATCGTTATTTTCATATGTTACACTAGAATTTTTTTTCTGAAATTGAAACAAATAGAAATGTTTTAAGCTATTTTTCTCAACAGGAATGTCATAATTTGTCTTACAGAGATGTTACGTGGAAATACGTAAGAAAAATGTTTAAAAATCATCTCAAGAACACCACCACATTAAGGTTCAATTATGTTGATTTACATCAGGTATGATCCTACAAAATGTAGACGGAGTAACAATAAGTATTGAAATTTAACACTGCAATTTGAAGACAAAAAATTTAAACAATCTCTTTTCATGAACAATTGGGCAATGATAAGTAAAATTGTGTACTTCCTCAAGTAATGAAAATTCAAGCTTATTCTAATCACAGACTTTGGTGAAGGGTGAGACCACAATAAGGGATAAAAGTTTAACATGAAAATACAACAAATTTTAGCATACTTAGGGAAAGTACATACAATTTTTGTAAGTCGTGTTGAAAGGAGAAAAAAAGGCTCCAAAAAAGGATAAGAGTTCAAGATGGGAAACGTTTCAAGCATTTCAAAAGGAAAATTGAATCAATTACATGAATTAATTGACATACAGATATTCCTTGGTTTGGATATCGTATTTTGACATTTTAATGATAATAGACACTACATTGTATGCCACTACAGATTTTCAGTTTTTCCATCGTCATATTTAAGGTCTTCCGACTTCCTTCGGAAGACCTTATTGTTTTCCGTCGGTTTCCTATTATTATTATTTTTAAGGTCTTCCGACTTCCTTCGGAAGACCTTATTGTTATTCGTCGGTTTCCTATTATTATTATTCTTTTTTCATAGTTATGGCGATATCTCAGCTGTGACTGTACGGATTTCAAAGATTTTTGCAGGAAAGATGCATCACGTTAATATCTCCAGATATGTTTTTCATTTTTTCAAAATTTGCTTCCATTCGCGATTTTTGGGGAAATTTGTATTTTTTAAATGGATTTTTGTACCCTCCTTTTCTCGAAAACGGCTAAGGATATGACATTGAAACTCATGGACATGAAAGAGCATTACATGTAGATGTGCCGAACGTCCTTCATTTTTGTCGTTCCTACTTCCGTTCGCAAACGGAAGTGAATTCAAAAAGTCTTATTTTTCATCTTTGTTTTTCAATATTTTTCTTTGGGATTCACAGGGTTTATAGAACGTCTTCAAAGATATCTATATTTATATATGTTTTCATTTTTTCAGGCGTGCGTTTATTGCAAAGATATGACCGAACCAAACTTTGTCTTTCTGTCGAGGGTTCGAATCCCGCTCGGGCGTTCCCCAAATTTTTTCTTTGTTTTTGTCTTTTTTCAGTTGCAAATTACTTTTCACTCTTTTATAACATGTGTGGAAGATTTTGCCGATTTTTAAAAGCTATATTTGGAGATATTTTGTGAAATACATGGAACAATCACGATCTGTGTTGAGAAACTACTGTAAATGAACGTAAACGAAAAAAATACATTATGAAATCTATTTCATGGAATGACGCAGACTAGATTGCAAAAGAGTAGTCGGTCGGAAGACCTGCTTGTTGCACCAGCAACAAGAACGCATCTAGTTTTTCCATATTTTAAAGTAACACTCGGCTCTTGTCTAGACTTTCTATTTATGTTTTCTAACTTATTCGATACTTAAGAGTCACCCGCGTGGCGCAGTGGTTAGAGCGTCGGTTCTAGAGTCGCCAAGTAAGGAGTTGATCCTTATGTCGCTGGTTCGAGTCCCACTGTGGGACCTGGAGACTGGTCCTTCGGATGAAACGGTATAAACCGAAGTCCCGTGTCACAGTAAATCCTGGCACGTAAAAGATCCCCCCTTCTCAATGGCCATGAGTGCCGAGTATAGGTCAAAATTTGTAGCTCTCCACCGGCAAGTGGTGGCGTCTCCATATGAGAGAAAAATTCACAAAAGGGACGTTAAACAATATACAATCAATCAATCAATCGATACTTAAGATCATGCTCTGAAAAAATCAATATTCAAATCAAGGCAAGTTACTGACAGTTAGGTTGTTGTTACAGGGATTTAAAATACCTCGCTAAAACATTTTGTAAATTCTTCGGTTGTTAAAATGAAGTTGTTTGCAAAATATAACCTTTTTTCGACTCCGATAATCTGACTGGCACGTTCTTTTCAAATTCTTAGCCTTTTTTACTTACTTTTACTACTTCATATTCCTTCTATAAAGTGATTACGGGGAGCATAACCGGTCGACAGGGGATGCTTACGTTTCTTGATTCTTGATTCTCTCTATGAAATTTCTGGATTTTATGTCCTCTTTACCGTTTTTATTTAATGTAGAATTTTTTAGCTTGAAATCATTGTTTGTTATCTTCGCCTTTTTATTTCTGAAAGCAATTTATTTCATTACGGATCCCGATTTTAAGTCAGATATAAAAGTTCATATAACGTTACTTGTTGTTCAAATGTAAGGGGAAATGCTTTTCAAATTCCTATCAAAATACAAAAAGGCCAGGTTAGCCAATTTGATACTTTTGCATCTAGCATACATTAATTGTTTGAATTCAGTTTTAATTAATCATTAAACTCCTTTGGGATACGATAGAGTCACATTTTGGTGTCAGATTTTCTTGGGATTAATTAAGAGCAAACATCTATTAAGATGTCCTAAAGACTAGGTGAACGTTGCCCCCCTCATTACTTTTCTCATATTCATCTACAAACAAATTTATGATACATTTTTTTTATATACAGGTGCCTCTCAGCGGCAGGCTTCTTATAGGGAGGACCAGGCTGGGAGGAGTCAATGTAACACCCAAGAAACCCCGCCATGTGAACCACGCGTGACCTGCGGACAGATGAGTGGACTCTTCCCAGATAATTCTGAAAATCCATATGCACAAATTTCGGATACAGCTAGGTTGATGCCAAGAACGAAGCATATCCCAAAGGAAGTCGGTATTCCAAAAGCTCCGATGACCACGAGTCAACCCACTGCAAAGTGTGAGGATTTCACCTCATACGATGTTCTTAGTTTGAAAGCAAAAGGCAAAAAATCAGACATGTGTTTAAAGCAAAAGCAAAAGACAGAGTTCTCAGGAGTTAAGTATTCTAAGAATCCTCCGCCTCCTATTGTCAAAAATAAACCTCTACCCCCAATTATTTCACCCAATCCTGACAAGCGGAAAAGTTTTCTTTTTCCTGACGACACGTCTGATTATCTAACACAAGAACCACTTCTTTCAAATGATAGGTCTAGTGAAGCGGAAATAAAGGCACTCCCGCCTCCTCCAGCACCCCCTTCTGCTCATAGCAATGGTTTGCGTTATAAACCTAAAAAGGGAAAGAAACCACCCCCTCTACCCAGAAAACCACCAAGTAATTCGGATATCTATCGCGATGATAGCAATAGCGAGGGCAACGCTGCACACGATGGTATAGTGAGCATGAGAACAGACAATGAAACAGAAAGTAAAAGTAAAAATAAGAGAACCAGTTTCTTGATGCCAAAAAAATTTCTCAGAAATGAACCTTCAATGAAAACTACTCTTAAAAAGGATATGCTTAACAGACGAAAGACGAATGGCATGTCGTACAATCTATCGGGTCTGTTAGATGTAGACGAAATGCCACCACCTGACTTCAGTGACGACGAAGAAGCGAGGGGTAGTGCCCAGCCCCAGTATCCGGGGGCTGAGGTTCACATGAACCCCCTACGGAAGTGTCAGACTGTCATAAAAAACAAGATGAATAGAATAAGTGCACTTAAGTTCGCGAGTAGTACCTTGGACAATCTTAGATACAGCTTTGCACGACCTCAACATTAGCTTTAACAGAGTGAACATTAGAACATTGCAAAACCCTTTGTTCAAAATATATTTAATTTCTATTTATATATATATAAAGATGAAATTATACATATATCCTATTAATTTCTTTGATAAAAGCACAAACCAGTTGTTTCCCGATACTAGTATTAAATATTTTCTCAGCTACTTTCATTAATTATCATTGGTCTGAAGTATATATATCTGTCTGATCTCTATTTATTCACAGGAAATAAAGGAAACCCCTAGCCTAGTTTTTGACATTGAAGAAGCATTTAACTATTCTTATTTATGTTCGTATGTTTTACAAATACATGAAAAATAAACTTACATTAAAAATAAACTTAATGTTTACGTGCTATCGTTTTCCTTCCGTAAGTTCTTCCTTATTGTATGCCAATTAAACTAAAAGTTTATCTCAAATGATCTTAATTAGCACTAAGTAAAGTGTTATTGAGAACATTCAAATCAGAGCATAGATATGATGTTTAAGACTGAACGACAATTTGAATTACAGGTTTAATAGGTGCCTCTCGAATTGCAGTACACTTATAAATTTTATGTTTATCATCAATATAATTATCTTATTTTATTGTTTTTCCTGAAATCTTTAAACATGAAACATATGGGGATAACGAACAGTATTCAAGATCAAAAATTCCATGAAACAATATAAAATAGGAACGGAGTAATCTGCATAAGTAAGGGAAGTTAACAATTGAAAAGTTAAAGTCATCACGTTTTTCAGAGAGCTTGGTTGTTAGATTACCAATAATGTCTTTTGTAGTAAATAACATTCCGTCTTTAACATACACAAATATATTGTCAAACTTAATTTGTAAAGTATATTTATTTAATATAGAATCTTGTGAAAGGTTTAAGGTAGTGAGAATTTAAAAAATTAATTTTGACTGAAATAAAAATTTATAAGTGAAAGGTGAATTTATCGATTTTAATTTATAATGTTGCCTAATGTAGGAAGATAAACTTTCATAGTTATAATGCATTTGAATGAGGGAAATTTATCGGTTTTTTTAACTTTCTAAAATATGTTTCAATTGTATCACTAACCTGGATCTTTTCGCGCTCTTTAAGGATTTTATACTTTAAAATTTCCTTAGGGATTTCTCTAATGATAAACCATAATGTTTACCATTTAAACATTCAACTGTATATTGTAATCATATAAAGGTTTGTATTTTTCCACAAGAAAATTATCTATGTGGGAAGTACTGATTTATTAGATTGTTGTACCAGATCGGCAGATTGAAGGCACACCTTCATTGATTCAAGCCATGTAGTGTTATTCTGAGGAGTATCAGTTTATAGTATAAGCGGATAACTCTAGAACTTGTCATTGACTCAAGTGGAGACCCTTTTCATAAATCTGATATTTCAACTACACGCGAACCTTGTTCATTAGTTCCTCATGGGCACTTTTATCACTCTCAAAGACAAACATTTCCAAATATTTCAAGGAAAACATTCATAAACATTTTTCCTCTTTTCAACATTGTTAAGCCTACCTGATCAGCTGAAAGCTCGAGTTAGCTTTTCGAATCATCCGGCGTCCATCTGTCTGTCTGTCTATCCGTCCGTCTATTAACCTTTCACATTTTCTACTCCTCCAAAATTAACCAAAGTACAAGCACCCTTACGGCAAATGAGATTCTTAATTGTTAAAATAAAGGGCCAAGCCTTTTTCCAATGGGAAATAATAATAAAAAAAAAAAGGCATTAATTTCGTGGGTTTTAAAAAAACGTTATCAAATACCACTGGGCCAGAAAAACTAAAACTTATGTGGAAGCTTCCTTAGGTGTATTAAATTTTTTGTTCAATTAATGACCTTTGGGGTGGGTTTGGGTTTCAATAGGGATTTCAAAGTTTAACATTTAATATAAGAAAGGACATTTTTTTCAAATCCTCCATAAAATCATTGGAGCAGACGAGCTAAAACATACGTGGACGTAGTGTTAATCATGTTAATATTAAATTGTTTAATTTGACCCCAAGTGGTAGGATCTGAATGTAACATGCAATCAAACTTTAACACTGGAACAGATTTTTTTTTAAAAAATCTTTTTCTCAAAAACCTCTAGATAAAAAGGCGAATCTTGTGTGAAAGCTTACTCAGAAAGTGAAAATAATGACGTGTTTAAATTAAGGCTCAAAGGATAAGGTTAAGTCACAATTAGAGAATTAAAGTTACAAAGTGAAATATAGAGAAAAAGTGTTTTTCTCAATAACCATTGGGCCAGGAAAGCTTAATCTTATGTTGAAGTTTTATGAGTTAAGCTAGTTTGATAATTGTTTATATCATGTTCCAAGGGGGGTATAGTAGGGCCATAAGAGGGATTATATAGGGAAAACATTTCCCTATATCTCAAATCAATGAAGAATTGTATAAAATGTGAAAGTATCGTCTAGAAGTGTAGATCCATTTTGTTTGCACAGTCCCTATGTGTATGATAACGTCACAATACATGGTGAAAAGTACAAATACATGGATGTTAGGGTAAAATCTGATTCAGAACAGTAGGACCAAAAACACCCATGTTAGCGCTGTGGCCTATTGACCTCTTGTTTTAATATCAAGAGTGATATTTAAAATTACAATTATGAATTAATGTGAATTACGAATCCTCAAGATATATAAGTAAATTTTAATATTAAATCTAAATTTAAATAGATTTCCTTGTTCTGGATGAGAATAAGGTTTGTACGTACTTTGCTTCCTTGAGTGGTATAATGACTAAGCGCTTACAGTTGTATATGATCCTTATCAGTGTTATAAAGTACAGCTTATATTGTATCGTATTCAACACTCTCACGGAGACCCATAACCCGCTTCACTCACCTGAATTACCTGGTTCGGTTGACCTTTAGAACAAGATATCCAACAGATTTATTCCTTTTTATTCTAAGGAAAAAATTATACACCAGACAGCGACGAAGACCTTGCTTTAAGGGTCATTACCGGTACTTACGCAAATTTGATTTAAAACAACCTCGGATATGCCTCAATATTCAAATGACTCTCTATTTTTGGAGAAGGTTTAATTTCTACATGTATCTGCATAATAAATCATTTTACCCCAATTATGGCAAATAATAAACAACGTTATTCAGCTTTAATGCGTTATGAATAGTAATTACTCTGCTTGGATGATGCTGAACTATCGTATTTATTAATATAAACTTGCTCTTGATAAAATTAATACATACAAGTGCTTTCTTTTTTATACTCCTTGAGAGTCAAGTGTACTTATTTCTCATGGAAGGCGTTGTGTATTTCAATTCTACATGTATGTGATGTTTTTTGTTAATTTTCAATTTTATTTCACATTTTAAACGAATTTATAAAAACTTGGTGATTTCTTAATTTTGTATGCTTGAGACATTAGGACAGTTGGAAAGGTGGGTAGTTCCTGCATGAAGGGACGGGGACTCTCATTAGTGGCCTTGTATACCATACAAACTAGACCGTTATTCCTTTACCATTCCCTGGAGGGTTGATTCGGGTTTTTTTTCATATGATGACCTCTGCGGAAGGATCGAGCCACAATTAAGAATATACATATATTCTATTATATAGCTTTTTTCTAAAATTTTCTTTTCAATAACAGCAGGGCAATTCTTTAGGTTTGTTCTAAACATGGTTCTGAGACTAGGACGGATTATAAAAAGGTTATTTTACATTAGAACATATATACGTGAAAACAACTTTATCCAAGGACAACAAGGTTAGGATAAGTGCAACTAATATGCATACATTCTCATTTAATATGCATATTTTATATGGTAAAAAGTATCGCCTCCTAATTATGTTTTTTTTTTTATTTCGTAAGTTCTATGGTTCGGTACAATGACCTTGCCAGCAATACAATATATCATTAACTTAAATGCTGACGGTCGTTTTTCATACTACATGTATTTGTTAGGTCATTCTTTACACACTGAGCTGTCGATGGATTTTCCAGATCCTGACAAGAAGCACACGACAGGTATGACGGGTTGGCAGGGGATGTTGACTCCTCCATGGCACCTGATCCCATCTCTGATGTTTTAGAGGTCCATGTTTGCTCTGCTATAAAATTCGCACTGTTTCATAGACTTTTGGGCTCAACACTCTTTGTTATCTCTATTTTATTCGTAAAGCCCATGTACAAGTCTCTGTCAAATTCCCCCAATGTCGTACCTTTTAATTAAATGTTTGAACAGGAGATAGCCGTGCATTCTCATACAAAATGTCTCATTCACACTATATATTCATTCTTTTTTTTATTCTGTTTCTAACAAAGCATTATTATGACTTGGTTTATGACCTGCGAACAAATATAAACAAGCAAACGTAAAATACATGTATGTTATATACTGAACTAGAAAAAAATTAAGCAATGATTCCTTTTTCATTGTGTAGTATTTACTTTTTATCATTATCTTTTGATTTGATACAGGTTATATGTATATACAGTTTCCTGAACCCTCATTATTTATGTTTTATCTTTTATAGTTCTATTTATTATCTAGAATTCAGATTACTTATCTCCACTAGGCTGGTTCTTCTTTAATTATTTATTAGAAATACACAGTAAAACTTAAATCTGACTTAACTTACGGGGATTCGCAAATAAAGTTGTTTAACTGCTCACAGACATTAGCTGTCCACTTGAACTGAGACTTGAACCCTATGGCCATGCATTTGTTTAGAGGGTGAGTAGAAGGTTCACTGGGAGCCCAGGCGGTGTAGACAGGACTGGTCTGGGTAAGTGTCCAAATCCAGCTCCCAGAAAATAAGCTGGTACCTCCAAGCCAGAGCGAATCGCTCGAAAAAGCAGCTGTAAAAACGATTCTTACCATTGCTTTCAAAATGAGCTTTTGTCTTCTTTTGTATTTTTTCTGAATATATTTTTCTCTAGGTTATGATATATTAATCGGAAAAAGCTGCTTCCAAACAATTCCTCATTTGTATAATTAAGTTAAACCTGGATAAAACCACCTTTGTCAATTAACACCTTACCAGGTCCCAGTCTTCCAATGTATCCAGTAATGAACTGTTCTTCGCTTGCGTCGTCAATGGACAGCAGAGAAGACTGAATCATCTTACAGTAGTACTGACAAATAAAGTATTCAAAATACATAGAAAATATTGTGTTAAAAAATAGTATAATACTAAATACAATCCATGATCAACTTCAAATTTGAAATTTTTTTAAGTCTGATTTTCAAAAATTATTATTGTATTACTAAGTATATTAACTTTATTTTTGAATCCTCAAAATTTTGATTAATGTTCTTCATAACAAATGTAAACATAATTTTGCTTATCGGTCGATTTCATCCACTACTTTAGAATTATTTAAATAAAACACATTATATGCATGCAATGGTCACTGTTATGATTACTTACATTAGCCTCTGACCACGACGCTTTTATATGAAATGGCATATAACACGAAGTCCCGTGTTGAACGAAGCCCATAGGACACACCGCACTACACACCCCGAGCACCAGCAACTCTGATTCAACATCAACGTAATGGTAAGAGGAGAGAAAAGTCTCAAAACTTAACTCTATGCTCCTTTTATACACTTTTACAGCATTAGATAAATCATAATTCTATTTTATCATTAGTGTATCAAATTGTTAATTATTTTTATGATAGCCACAAGGAAAGGCTGTCTACACGGTTTGATCCTAACCAGATCGAACATTTTCATATTTAAAGTAATCCAAAGATCAATTATCTATTATATGTACATATCTATAACTTTATAGTTTACGTGGGCTATCTTTATACCGAAGAGGGAAAGAAATAAAAATGAAATTAATTTGAAATGAACTTAAGATCTGCATATGGTGAATAGTATAAAACTGATTTTTTTTTTACAGTGAACAGTGTAATATTAATACTCGTAGATCCGAAGATAAAATTTAATACTTACCTAATAAACAAGTTTTCCACATTTTGACCGATTTTGATAAATGGTTAGTAGGACAGTTATTGACTTATCTATGACACACTACATATACAACAGATATACAAAAAATAGAGCAGTCCCACTCCCATTATAGTTTGAATTACGAGTTAACTTTCTTTGGTTGTTTTTTAAAATTTATTTTTCCTCTATAGAAAAAAAATTGGCAAAGGAGAGTCATTGCATGTAAACTGGTTCACAAAAACTCAAGAGTAATTATACATGATTAAAAAATTTGATTTAAGAAAGTTGTTTGTCTACAATTAACATGACAAGTTGTTTGACTAAACTTGACGAAATGCCTTTCCACAATTTTTTTTTATAAAAATATAATATTTGGAGTTATAATAATAAAATAATAAAAAATAAAAATTTGCAGGAAGACAATATCCTTTTATGTATCTTTATCTTATTCAGTTATTTATTTCTGAAACATTTTGCTTGAATTATAATGATTTTACAACAAGAACACCCTTTAGAAATTATTGCAAAATTTATATTTTAAGCAACAGTGCAGATCAAATTTTTAAAATAGAAATATCCCACTGGAATATGATAACATTGATATCATAAGGAGTTGTGTCCCTTTTCAGAGGATCAATGAACTTTAAGTCATGACTTTCACTAAGAGTAGTCTCTCCTATAAGAAGGTTTATGAACCTTACATATAATGACTTCCCGACTTATACCTTACTTATATGTTTATAAAGAAGTTATTCCTATAATTAATATATTAATCACAAATTAATTAAAAAATTCTGGTGAGATATTTGACTTTGTATTATAGGTATGACATCTGTCATTACAATGATTTAATCAAAGAAGGACGCTGAACCTAAAATAACATTACACGGACAGATTAAAACCGCTTCAGCAAGTATTACCTTAGCAAAGAAAAAAATGTTGAAACCATATGGACGAGTTTATTTTCAATAACATTTATATACTTATAAAGAATTATTTATTTTCTCGATGCTCAAATAGACAAGCTTTTCCTATTTAAAACTGTCTTTGTACAGTGTAACATATTCAAATATCTATCATTTATTTTACAATTCTTACATTTCAAAAAAAAAGAAGATAATTGGTACATTGTATGTAAATTTAAGGACCCTACTGGGCAAACACCGTATAATCTGATGCGTCTTGTGCATGCAGGTTACTTGAAAGTTGTCAGGCTAAATAGAGTATGATGTTAAAGGTGATGAGGACAACGAACGGAGATCAATCTCCAAATTCTTATAAACAATACAAACACCAACCCCTGGAATTTCCAGAGATCGGATCAGGGCCAAGGAGTTGTAAGCATTCCCTGTTGATCGGTCACCCCTGTAAATTTAAATGTTGATCAGGTAAATGGAACTTTCCCTATAGTTATATTTAGTATAAAGCAAAGACATTATGATTGGCATTGTCTTTTCACAAATTTTTATTAAAATAGAAAATTTGGTGTAAATAGTCATAACACCAAATTTTCTATTTTAATAAAAAATTGTGGGGAGACAGTATAAAACATGCAAAATATGACCCAGTGTTATGTTATTTTTGCTTAAAAGTTAAGGTCATTATTATAGAAATTACGACATTATGTTATTATAGAATTTACGACATGCTAACTTTAAATGAGGATGTCGAAATTTCTGTTATATCAACATATCAGTGAATAGCATGCATCTCGGAGCAAACTCTCGGGTAGCAAATAAGTTCGGAGATATGAACACTATAAGCAGGTGATCGCGGAATAATACTGCATAAAAAAGGAACGTTGGCGATTAAAAAGCTTAAGTCATCTCCTTTGTTACAATCTTTTTAGTTGTCCGATAAAGTGTATAGTCAGTATAACATACAAATATGAAACAGATGTAGGAGACGCCGAGTATCTTGTATGTAAGGCCGCCTGAAGTCAATTATAGCCATCTTAAATGACAATACAAACGACTAAAAGAGAAAAACTTTAATGGTTGTTCCTTTTCCCAATAATCCCTTGTCTACCAGCAGTAACTCCAGGATCCGCCGTCCTAAAATAGAAAATAAACCAACATGAAAGAACAGGAAATATCGAATATTCAACGCTTAAATATCAGCTCTGTTTGAAATGATATTGTCAAAAATATTTGGTTTGAGCCAGATGCAGACTTATATATGAAATATGCATCCATGTGGAAAAAAAGACTTTTGACCTCCGACACAATGTAAAATATAAATCTATTGATTTTTGTTTATTAACAAATTTTTGAGTTGATCATCTGTTTTCTTTCTTTTAAGGTAAACGTTCATTGTATTGTATTCAAAAATAAAAATGAAAACTGTTTAAATTTAGTGGTAGTCATGAAAGTGTCTCTTAAACCTTGCTCAAATGGAAATCATTTAGAACCTTCTCTAGAATCCACTTTATTCTACGTACGGTATTTCGCAGATAAAGTTGAATCTGTTCTGACAGTTATTATCATTCCATTGATAGTTCCCATTCATATCCATCTCCAGACAATGTTCATTAGAGCCAGCATTGTTGGGTTCCCCTGGGGACCAGTTTTTGTATGTCCCAAAAGCCTCCACATTTCCCGTCCACACCCACTCGCCCTCGATCTGGATATCTGTTCCCCCGAGCCAAAAAATTCCCGGACTGAAACCGCCTACACAAAAACATAAAAGAAAAAACACTTTACCATGCCCCTTAATAATGATGTACATAACTGTTATACCATATTCTTCTCTACTTCCGACCATGTACAAATTTTTGGAAAGAAGACAAATCTCAGATAATTTTACTGTCTGCCTTTCAGGATATGAGTTACATTTTATTTCATTGTTCCATCCAAGAACCATCTTGGCTTACACCCCGGCAATGAATTATCTTTTAATCACAGTACCTTAAATGGAACCATTTGATGATTTGTTAGGAAATGTATATTTCTATGAGCATTCTTTTACTGTCTAGCGAGGTAGGACTGGGCCTTATAAAAAAGATGTTTGACATCTGAAACATTTTTAAATAATCCATAAAATTCTTAGATCTGAAGGCATTTCTTAAATAACTTTACAAGTGTGCTATCTATACACTGCAGTTCTTCGTAAATAATCTAACACGAATAAATGAAACATCATTAAACTGAGAACAACATCAAAAAATTCAAAGCAACTGTCATATCAATGAATTTAATAGAAAACAGTTAAAAAATCTACCCTTAATTCTGGGAATCATAGTTTGTATACTAGAAATAATAATTAAGTATTTTTGGAGTTGACTGTCTGTTGTAAATAGAAGGATATGGAGATAACGAACAGTATTCAATCTCAACGTCCATCAAACAATATACAAAATAAGAGCAGAGCAAACACGGACCTCCGAAACATCAGAGGTGGGATCAGGTGCCATGGAGGAGTGAGCATCCCCTGCCGACCGGTCACACCCGCCGTGTGCTCGTTGTCATTATCAGGAAATAACGGAAAAAATCCGTCGTCAATTCAGTGTATAAATAATGGACTAACAATTGGTATGAAAAACGTCAGTCAGCATTGACTCAATGATAAATTGTATTTGCTGACAAGGTCATTGTATTGACCATAGAATTTACGAAATGATGACTTTAAACGAGACTGTTGATATTCTTGTTTTATCAACTTGCTTGTCAGTAATTTACCTCGTTTAAGAAACTGTTCATACGCAGAGCATGCTCTTGCGTATCGATTCAACTGAGATATATATACTCCGTATGCAGGTGATGAAGATATATTGCTGCATAAGTAAGGGAAGTTGACGATAGAAAAGTTAAAGTCATCACGTTCATTATATAGCTTGGTTGTTAGATTACCATTAAATACAACTCTAAGAATTATTGTCCGAATATGATAAAAAAAAGGGTTACTACTCTATATTTTTTGGACATTTCTGTATAATAGTACTTACATAAACATTTCTGAATGCGGTTGCATAATAATACTTGCCAAATATTTCTTGGGATAACTGTATAATTGTTCTTACTTATATTTACTGTAATTACTGAAATAACACGTACAGTATAATGAAATCTATGAAAGTAACGAACAGTATTCAAGTTCAGAAGTCCATTCAAACAATACAACCAAGAAGAAGACCAAACACGGGCCCTTAAAAGATCAAAGGTGGGATCACGTGCCATTGAGGAGTGAACATCATTTGCCGACCGGTCACCCGTCGTGTGTTCTTGTCATCGTCGGGAAATACTTGGAAACTCCGTACACAATTCACAGTGTAAATAATAGCCTAACAATTTGTTAGAAAAAAAATGACTTAATGATAGATTATATTTGCTGACGTGGTCATTGTATCGTCAATAGAACCTACGGAGTTTCGACTTTATATGTTCATACCTTGCGTATCAAATCAAATGAGAGATATAAACCCCATGTGGCTATATTGCTATGTAAAGAAAGGAAACGGACGATTGAAAAATTAAAGTTATCACGCTTATCATAAAGCAATGCTACTAGAACCATTGTTAAATATCCAAATATGAAACAGAAGTATCAGATCCTGTTATTTTTTATTTCAAGCTCAAAAGGAAATCTCGGGTCAACATAGTGTAGTGAATTTGTATTAATGTCGGGCTTGGCGTCGGGTTCGGAGTGCAAATGTTTTGTATACGTCATAAGTCAGTTCTAATAAAAGTTTCTAAAGTATCGGACGTCTGTTTGATTCCTTGGCAGCTCGGAACTCGTGGTGCACTTAGGACCCACACCAGAAGCACCACACTGGTGTCAGAAGTGTCGTAAATTTATGCAGCTAAGTTTTTGCGTGAATTTGCACTTGCTTTCTTGAATATTTTACAGTCGGGTTTAATTTCGACCACGTGCGTTTCAAAGAAGTGTGAATCCGCTCCTCTGTTATTGCACGATTTTGGCGGGACAAGTCCAGATAGCCTGTTTGCGTATTTATTAAATTTTGTATCAGATTGTGTGAATCCGCATTCTGAATATTTGTGTTATTCATTGCAAAATCATCATTACATTTATCAATAGATCAAGAGGTGTAATTTTTGCTATTTATGAGTTTGTCAAGCGTCACAAAATTTTTAGACAAAAACCCACTTCAAGTTCCCTCTTCCCCAATCGACAAATTGCCTGTGTTGATTTCAGATAGTTTGGGAAACTGCCTTCGAACACATCACAACACACATAATATTCCACTGCATTTTCTCACTTATCCAGGGTCACCTACAGCCACTGCAATTGATAGGGCAATACCTGAGTTAGAAAAACTTTCTAAGAGAAACAGGCCACTTGTTGTGTATGTTTGGTTAGGTGTGTGTGATATTACAAAGAAAATACATAAGGGGCCTAATCGCAGGCAAAGGCAAATTGAATTGCGATATAGCTCAGTAGGTGAAGCGAGTACACACATATTGGAGCAATTTCATAGGTTAAAACGTTTGGTCATCACCAATAAAGGCTCTATAAAATTCCTTACAGTTCCAGTGTACTCGGCAAAAATTTACAATTCTTACTTAGGCCATCCCCACCCTGAATATTTTGAAGCCACAGATAAGTTTCTAGTTGAAGAAATAACACTCCTTAACCAGAAAATTTTTGATCTAAATCAATCGTTAGGCCGTAACACCCTCCAATTTCACCTAGACATTGTAAAGGTCAGAGGTCGTGGAAGACAATCTTTTAATTTTAATCTCTTAAGAGACGGAATTCATCCTGATAGTAAATTGTCGGAAAAGTGGCTAAGGCGATTAGAATTGGACATAATTAAGGAGTGTTGGATTGATACAACACCAGATTTGTTAACCTTGAGTGTTGACCCACAAGAATTACTGACACTGTAATCACAAAACAAGAATTATGTCTACCGGTGACAATTTGCTCGATGACACACTAACAACAGACAATGACAATGATCATAAGTTAGAAGCTAGTTTAAAAATGTCTGTAGAAAATGGTACTGTCAGGGTGTTGGAAAAAGTTGAGAGAACCTTAGGCGACCTTTCCTTAAACATACATGAAACAAATTTGATGTTAGGGAAGCAAGATAAAACTTTTGAATCACAAATGCAAAAGATGAGAAATCAAGAGCAACTTTTGTCAAGAAGCATAGACAGACAAATGGATGTAATAAATAAACAAGAGAAACTTCTATGGGAAACAATAGAAAATCATAAAGAAATGATGAAAAGACAAGAAAGCATTTTCTTAGACATGACTCAAGGGATCACACAGGTCTTGGAGCACTCGCTTAGCCGAGGGGACAGCCCCAGGCAAATCGATGCTCAACAGGGCCACATGTCTGGATTGCTGCACAGTCGAGGGGACAGCCCCAGGCAAGTGTATGCACAACAGGACCACAATGTGACTGCTACACTATTGGATCAAGATTATCTGACTTGCCCTGTGGCGGATGCAAACACTGCACAAAAATACATCAGGAGTGGTCTCGATTTCACACAGACGTAGATGACGTCATACCCTTAGCAGTAAGGAGTGATTTTGGCATGGTATTTGCTAAACATCAGACAAGCCATGGAGACCAATGCTGTGATGACTCTGATCCAGGGTCAAATACTAGTTTTTGCTCTGGAGGACACAGTGTCCCCGAGCAAAGTGCGGCAATGGGTACCATCCGGAATTTAACACAGATGGATGAGGCAGTAAGTGATGATGAGGAAGAAATAGGTCCTCCTATATCCTTAAGCAAATACACAAATGAAGAATTGAGTCAGAAACAAAAGGACGACCCAGAGCTACATAAGCTTTTTAAGTGGGTGGAAGGGAAGTTTCCAAGTAATCGAGAGGAAGTATTTTCTGAGTCGCCAGCCCTTAAACACTTTTGGCTTACAAGAGAAAATCTCTCACTAAGCAATAACTGCCTTTATTACCGATGGACGTTTCCAGAGGAGACCCGACTATTATTCATCGTGCCTGAGGCAATGAAGAAGGAAATTATAGACATCGCCCACTGTTCACCATTATCGGGACACCCTGGAATTAAAAGAACTATTCAGCGCCTTCGACAGACCTTCTACTGGTTTAATATGACGGATTGGGTGAAAACTTTTGTTGGAGCTTGCGAAAAATGTGCGCTAAGTAAAAAGGCTAACAAGACAAATAGATCCTCATTGCAGCAGTACCAAGCTGGATCACCCATGGACAGAATACAGCTGGATATACTAGGACCCTTTCCTTTATCTAAAAAGGGAAATAAATATATCCTTGTTCTTGTCGACCAGTTTTCGAAATGGACGGAGTGTTATCCACTTGCCAACCAGACAGCGGAGACTATTGCCAATGTACTAGTGAAGGACTTTATTGCCCGCTTCGGGGTGCCTCTAGAACTTCACACGGACCAAGGGCGGAACTTCGATAGTGACCTGATGAAAAGACTATCAGAGTTGATGGGCTGGGCAAAAACAAGAACAACCCCCTACCACCCTTCTTCAAACGGGCTCGTAGAGAGATTTAACAGGACCTTACTTCAGATGATGCGATGCTTTGTCAGCCAGAATCAAGAAGACGGACGAACACCTTCCCTTGCTTGCGGGGGCATATCGAAGTATTCCTCATACCAGTACTGGCTTCACACCCAATAGACTGATGTTAGGTCATGAAGTCCATCTTCCTGAAGAGGTGATATTAGGCTTACACTCAGCAGAGCAGGATGAAATACCATACCTGGAGAAACTACGATCCTCAATGAGGAAATGTCAAGAAATAGCTCGAGGAAACTTGAAGAGTGCATCGATAGGACAAAAACGATTACACGATTTGCGTGTGTACGAGAGGTCCTACGACATTGGTGATTTAGTATACATACGGGACGACTCAAAGAAAGTAGGCAAGAGTCCTAAACTACAACCGTTATGGAAAGGGCCTGCAGTAGTTGCTAGAAAGTTGGGTGCAGTGCTGTATGAAGTTATCACAAAGAAGGGATCCACAGTACTGCATCATGACCGCCTCAAGCCTTGCCACCAAGAAACACTGCCCAGATGGATATCGAAAGCACGAAGACAGCTCCAGTATTGTGTCAACTTTAAGGAAAAGGACCCTCAAGCAACCTCACCAGAAGATGCTGATGTTCCAGGCGAGACAGAAGACAAGTCAGAGGAAACTGCAGTAGAAGAGAACTGGGTGGTACCTGATATACCCATACAACATGAAGCTGAAAAGGAAACAGTTTCTTCAGGACCGGCTACACCGGAGAACCAGGATAGCGATGCGGAAGACCAACAGAGGACCAACGAGACCACTACTAGATGTGGAAGAAAGATTCAACCTCCGTCAAGATACACGTCCTAAAACAGCTTTAAATATCAGAACAATTCACTAATGTTTATTTTCTTTGCTTTCATTTCATGTATTATTCCTTTTAGAAAAAGGGGAGTAGTGTAGTGAATTTGTATTAATGTCGGGCTTGGCGTCGGGTTCGGAGTGCAAATGTTTTGTATACGTCATAAGTCAGTTCTAATAAAAGTTTCTAAAGTATCGGACGTCTGTTTGATTCCTTGGCAGCTCGGAACTCGTGGTGCACTTAGGACCCACACCAGAAGCACCACAATATGAATAGAAATAATAACATCATTTTTTTTTATTGCCAATACGTCAACGATATATCTAAATGTCGAGTTAAAGGCAACAGCGAGTGTTTTTTTTCTCCTCTTGTATACTAGTATATCATTTTTTTGATTGCCAATACGTCAACGATATATCTAAATGTCGAGTTAAAGGCAACAGCGAGTGTTTTTTTTTTCTTTTTCTCCTCTTGTATACTAGTATGCTTGTTATTAAACTCTGCTTCATATGAATAAAAAAGTAGGCAACATTTACAGGATGCGTATCTTTCAATCAGATTGCGTATTTTTGTAAGGATTTTAAAGAAATTTCGTACTTTTGTATAATAGTATTGTAATAAATGTATAATAGTACTTAGATAAATTTCTGGCGATGACTCTGCAGTAGTACTTTTAACAATATTTCTGGAAATGATAATTGTAATAGTACTTACCTATATTTCTGGAAATGACTGTCTGTATAACGTGTTGTTCGTGAACATCGTTAATATTTGCGAGATATCCGCCATAGGCTTGACATATGATCTAGGGTGGAAAGAAACAATTATATTATCTATATATTCATTTTGAATAAATAATCTAATCGGAAATTCGCTTTAACCTGAAGACGACCTGTACAATTTGAGAAAACGAGGATTATTGCATTTAGAATCGACTAATTTCAACGGTGGTTTTACTGGCATGTAAATATTTTTAAAAATGTACGAATGCGTAAATAGCATCACCTGTTTGTTAATTTTTAGCTCTACTGGTCAGAGACCAGAAGAGCTTATGCGATAGTAATGCGTCCGGCGTCCGTCCGTCTGTCTGTCTGTCTGTCTGTCTGTCCGTTCTCACGAAATAATGGTTAAGTGACAGTTTTTGTGCCCATTTAAAATTTATGTGACTATTTTGTTTTATGTGACTGTCACATAAAAATTTGATTTTTTTTAGCAGAAATGAGTGTTATGTGACTTAAAAAATCATTCTAAAGGAGTGTCACATAAAAAAATACGGACGATATTGTCCGTTATATGGACGTCCGTCAAAGGGTTTTAAGAGTTACCTCCCGTACCCCATGCATCATGTTTCGCGCCATTTTACCCGATCATTTCCGGAAACAACCGAACCTGATTGCCGAAATCTGTCTGCGCAGGCGCTGTGGTGCATATCCGGAAATTTGCGCGGCATGATGATGAGAAAATGGCAGAGTTTCAGTTGGGGTAAGTAATGTGACATTTTTGCGATTTCTTAATTCGTATGACACAGCTGAACATTATTTACGATATTTTTAGTAAAACTTTGAACATCATTAGAATCGAGGGCCTCAATGGGTTCGTAGTACATTTTTAACAATCCATCAAATGTGCAGGGCTCGTTTTTTTGTGGTCATTCGTGCATTAACAACCAGCAAATTCTGGTGATATGAAGTGAATACATGAAATGTTAGTGTTGCACTTTCCGAAATTTATTTTCAATAACGTTATGAAAGCACAAGTTATTAGAGACCTATAGTCAGTGCCACATATATATGGACATGAATTTAAAATTTAATATCAATTCTCTGTAATTATCAAACAATATCAAAAATGCTTGGCCACGCTACATTTTCAATTTCTATGAAACTTTTTGTGTGTACTCACATTGTCATATCATTAATGTTTTTATAGTTTTTTATTTCAAAAAATGTCTCGTTGCCATGGTAACGGCACCTATTGTTTCCCCTGTAAAAATTCTTCCTAAAATTTGTCCAAAAAACGTGATTTTGTAGGTTTTACTGAATAAAAATGAGCTTAAAAGAAACAAGAGAATGGGAAAATCTACTTTTGTTTCAAAACTACCATTATTCCTCTCTAGTATAACAACATAATTTTTTAAAACTGTAATTCTACATAATGGCTTAACAACGCTTAGCTTTGGGGATTTTGGCATTTTGCCAAATTGAGAAAATTGCCATTTTAGACCCTTTTTCAAAGCGATTTTTTAATACTTTGCACACTGATTTGAAATTCAGGAAACAGTGCATTGTATAGATGGTACATAAGTTAGTTTAAACACATTAAAATATTTATGGGACACCTAAAATTTTTTTTTTAAAAAGCTGATGAAAAATTACCCAAAATCTGCAAAATTTCCGTATTTCAAGGAACACATGCACATTTCATTAAGTTCATATAGAAAAGAAATGTTCCTTTCTACCTGTTTTGATGTCACTTACAGTAAAATTAGTCCATATCTAGGAAAAGTGTCATGTAAAAATATTCACATCCCATTTCCAAGAGCATTAATACATGTAAATATGTTCTTAGATAGGAGAACTGTGAACACCTGCACAAAATGCCCCCCCCCCCCTTTCCGTAAAATTGACAATTTTGAAGTACATGTAGACTTACCAGGGCATGTTTCAAGTTTCCTGAAACTATCTCCTTAGATTGAAACTAATATGAAATAAAATTTTCCCTATCCATTCTCTGTTACTATGGAAACAGGAATGCAAGATTTGTTACCATGGAGACAGGAATACCAGATTTTTAACCAAAATGGCTGCGTTTAACATAACAATATTCCCAAAACTACACTTATTTACTCTTTAATAAAACATGTGTAATGAGTTAAATGTAAATGTGAACTAAATTTTTTGGCATCTTAAATTTGCATCTTTATGATGTTGCAAAAATATAATGCATTTTGTAATGCTATGTCAAATAATTGCAAAACCTTGTGGCTTTTACTTTTTCAAGATTTGGTCAAACTTGAAAAATTCTGAAATGAAACTAAAACAAGCAGGACATTCATAATATTTTACTCATTTCAACTTGTTACTTTGTATAATTATTTATTAAATTCATGGGCAACTGCAAACCACAGATACTTTGAATGAAGTCAAAAATTTACCCCCCCCCCCCCTTCTGATTTTTTCATTAAAACTTATGAAACACTGCTTTAAACTTGAGAAAAATTACATTGGTTTAAAAAAAAATCACATCCTCTTGGGTAAGTTATCTTGGATTTAAATATAAATATCCAACAATGGAAAACTTTAAACATAGTGTTTGGCATATAATTAATAATTAGGATTGCAATGGATCTTTTGTATTCTGTAAAGTCAGTTGAAACAATGCCCCCCCCCCCCCCCCCATGAGACACTGTCCCCCACAAGTATCATTTTAAGGAAGTTCTTCCTTTCATTTTACTAGGTTCCTGCCAACATCTCATCACACCAACTATATCAACCTCCTTTAAATTTCTTTTTTTTTCACATGTAAATATAAATTCTGAAAACAAGAGAACTTTTTGCTTTTTTATTTTTTATATATGCAACATTTAGAGTACATTTATTCTCAACTATGGTACATATCATTAGATTTACGTGACAAATTCTACTGTTTCTGCTGCTCTGAAAATCTTGACTCTGATTTTTCAATTTTAGAGTTTTAGTTGGTCAGGCATGTACCAGTAATGACCTACATTGACATACGCAAGTAACACTGATAATTAGTTAATGAGAATTATGCTGAGTTTAGTTTTTTTTGGAAAGGTACAGGATAAAGATTGATAAGTTCTAAAACATATTGTTATACAACATAAGATTTGAGGATGCCATCACATAATATGATAAACATGTTCCTATTATATTTGAACTTTGACATCTCAAAACACTGATATCTTGAACTTTGACATCTCAAAACACTGATATCTTGAAGACAGTGGGTACAAGTATGTTGAAGTAGGTTGGAATTCAGCTTTCACTTGCCTGGTTTCAAACATAAAATATGGCATCCCTTCTCAACCTGCAATGGTAAATAATTCCTGCACTTTCCAATATACTAGTACACTGATTTCAAGCTAATTAAATGTGTATGTAATCCTTTAGAAAGTTGTTTTCTTTATTCTAGTATAATAATTCTTCTGTTACTGGACAGGTATTAAATTTTGTTTAAAAAAAAAAAAATAAGCAAGGTTTAAATTTAGACATAAAACTGAAATATTTTTTAACAATTTAAGGACAGATTATACAAACAAACTTTTGTCAAAGAATTTGAAAATTACAACTGGAGTCATGTTTAAATCAGTAAAATTAATAACTTTCCTCACAAACAAGTACTTTTTAATTCATATTTGCATAAAAATGGAATTTGAAGTGAAAAGTATTTGTATAGATTAATAAGGATAGTTTCAAGAGGGCAGACTTTTGAACATCACAGAAGGTTTACAATTTCTTAATATTCTAGAAATTTATTAATACATCATTAATTTGCAATTAAATTATGCCAAAAAATATATACCAATCCAGGCATCCATTTTTTGTTTGTATCATCTGCCCTTAATTTACTTTCATATTTTAAGAATGGTTACCTTGAAAAGAACAGAATCTAGGCTGTCCGCTTTCTTGCAGAATGCACTTGAACTTCAGTCATGGCCTATTTGGTCCTGTTTGGTTAACTGGTCTTACTTTTTCTTTATTCATCTTATATGGTAAATCCTTTGATGAAAAAATGATGAAAATAATTATTTTCCTAGGAACATGATCAAAAGGAAAATTCATTTCATTCATACACAGACATGTTCATGTGTGTGATCATCTTACCAGTAGTGAATATTTGCCTGAGTATCAATTAATTTGTTTAGAATATTATAACACATGGTCAGTGTGTACAAAACAAATATCATTATAAATCAGAGGTGAATATTCTACATGTACATGTATATAGTTTTATTATACCCTTCGCTTGAAAAGTGGTAGGGTATACTGTAATCGGTATGTCCGTCTAACTGTACGTCCATCTGTCTGTACATCCGTCTGTCTGTTACGCTTTAGGGTACCCATCTCTTATTATCCACAACTCCTCTTATACCACTGCAATGAGTGAAATTTAATGAACCTTTCACAGAATCTTTATTACATATTGTCATTGTGCACCTCCTATTTTAGTTTTTGATTCGACGCATATTTTGGGTTTCCCGGCCACAATAAAACATGGATTTGTCATCAGTTATAACCATATGGGAGGCAGGTGGTATCATTTAGTGAGCTCAATGCTCACAGGACCTTTAGTTAAATTTTGTTTTAACACTTATACATATGTACAAGTGTACATATATATATTTTTACTGTTTGCTATTTGAAAAGATAATTATTATTCACACAAAATTGAACTATAGATTATACAGTACCGGTATTTCACAGATGAATGAAAGAGTCTATATAAACAAAAATAACTCAATATTTCCAGTGCATTCTTAACCTAGATCTATTTTGTCATTACATATAGTACAGTAGTTTTGGATATATATAATAAATTTAAAGTTTAAAAGATAGAAGCTTTTAAATAAGGCAATGACATCAAAACAAACATGCCGTTTTCCTATTTTCTGCTTATGAACATCACATGACCATATTTTGCTGATATATATAGAATACTATTTAAAAAACTTATCTACTTTATGCTTGTGCTCACACATTATAAACGTTTGATGCACTTTTTTATAGAAACAAATTAAACTTGCTCTAGTTAATATTTTAACAACACAATTCTGTAAAATATGTGCCTAATGCCAATAAAGAATTGAAATAATAGGATAAACAATGAATGAAAACTGACAAAAGTGGAAATTTATTTTATAAAGATAAATAATGTTTACTTAAAAGTCTCTCTCAGCACATCATAAAAAGTAAACCTACTGAATGGCACAGATTTTACACATGTACAATCTCTATATAAACATTTATATTTCGGGGGGGGGGGGGGTCAGCTGTATCAGCAAGTGATGTTTATATGCTTCAAATTCATTTTTATTAATAAAAATAATTAGTTCATTGGTCAGAAAGTCAAACTGTCAAAAGGTATAGTTCGCTTGATTTGATAAGGACCACTGACCACTACACCGGTAAAACAACTGGGTATTGTAAGGCAAATAAAATTAAGAAAATATGCATTTGTTAATCTTGATATTTTTGTAATGCTCAGTATATACATAAATTTACCTTCTGTCTTCATTGTTTAAGATGTCTAGCCTTCTTTTCTTCTTCCAGACTGTAAAACTTTGATGAGATCTTTCGCCAGAAAATATTCATTGCTGTTTACTAAATACACATTG